TGTGCCCTGGCACGCGCTGCGCACCTCGCGGGCGTCGCGCACCTGGCTTGTATCTACATTGGTTCCCGATGGTTGTCGACGGCGGCCCCTGTCCATGCCGAGACGTCGGTGCTGCTAGTGTCTTTGGGAGGGCGGGCGGGAGTGAGCGAGACGGCTCGCGGTTTGTGGGTAGCTCGATTTCTGCTCCTATGAACACTACATGCCCCACCCGACTGGCGACAAACTAGTTAGGGACAATGCCGACCCCCCTGCCGCCATCCCTGTCAACAAATCAACCCAAACACACGCTGCAGCATTTCTGGACCATGTTCGGACGCCCAGAGAACACTTCACACTGTCTGTTGACAAAGACGGCGCTGGGTGCCATCATATCGTCTGGCATGTGTAGGAACAGCAAATTGTGCGGCAAAATGCTTGACCATACGCGGACGCCCCACGATCATTTTGCATTGTTACTTGGCAGCGATGATTGGGATGCCCTGGCATGCGCGGCGCATCTCGCGGGCTTCGCGCACCTGGCTGTCGTTTGCATTCGTCCCCGATGGTTGCCGATGGCGGTCCCCGCCCAAGATGAGACGCGAGCCTCCACCATCCCTTGCAACATGCAATGCGAAGTGCACTTTGTATCAACATCTGCATCACGCGCGGACGCGGCGCGATCCCTTTGCATTTGGTGTGATTGGGACGGTGGTTGGTGCGATGCGACCTCCCAATTACCCATTTCAAACATCAATACAGCGGTACACCTGGCACCCAAATCAGGAGCGTGCGCAGACGCCGCGCGATCACCTTACATTCGTTTGTGATAACGGCGGCGTGAAGGGCAGCATCTTGCCTGCTGCGTACAGGCCCACCATCCCTTTCAACAGAGATGCGCAACTTTAAAATTTCCAGGGGCGGCGGGGGCCCCACATCAGCATCTGGACCATGCGGACGGGGGTGCATCACGTTTTTCCCCACATCCTGAGTGGGGTTCTTGTTTTCCCAAAACACCCTCTCCTTCCCACCCACCTCCCGCTCCATCTTCCATACAGCACAATATTATTCCTACCACACACCATACCATACCATAGGTCCTTCCACACATACCATACCATACCATACCATACCATATCATACCATACCATACCATACCACACCATACGTACCATACCGTACCATACCATACCATGGCGTACCATAGCATACCATACCATATCACACCAATGCCACACCGTACCATACCATACCATACCTCCAGTACCATACCATACCATATCATACCATACCGTACCATACCATACCATACCCATACCACTCCATACCGAAAACCATACTACTTACATGGTTTCGTGCCCCTACCATACATACCACTCCATACTGAGCGAGGAGGGTAAACCATACTATTTACATGGTTTCGTGCCCCTCCCCCCTCCAGGGAGGCCCCGCCTGAGCGAGGAGGGTATCGGAAAACCATACTATTTACATGGTTTCGTGCCCCTCCCACCCCTCCAGGGAGGCCCCGCCTGAGCGAGGAGGGTATCGGAAACCATACTATTTACATGGTTTCGTGCCCCTCCCACCCCTCCAGGGAGGCCCCGCCTGAGCGAGGAGGGTATCGGCAAACCATACTATTTACATGGTTTCGTGCCCCTCCCACCCCTCCAGGGAGGCCCCGCCTGAGCGAGGAGGGTATCGGAAAACCATACTATTTACATGGTTTCGTGCCCCTCCCACCCCTCCAGGGAGGCCCCGCCTGAGCGAGGAGGGTATCGGAATACCATACTATTTACATGGTTTCGTGCCCCTCCCACCCCTCCAGGGAGGCCCCGCCTGAGCGAGGAGGGTATCGGAATACCATACTATTTACATGGTTTCGTGCCCCTCCCACCCCTCCAGGGAGGCCCCGCCTGAGCGAGGAGGGTATCGGAATACCATACTATTTACATGGTTTCGTGCCCCTCCCACCCCTCCAGGGAGGCCCCGCCTGAGCGAGGAGGGTATCGGAATACCATACTATTTACATGGTTTCGTGCCCCTCCCACCCCTCCAGGGAGGCCCCGCCTGAGCGAGGAGGGTATCGGAAAACCATACTATTTACATGGTTTCGTGCCCCTCCCACCCCTCCAGGGAGGCCCCGCCTGAGCGAGGAGGGTATCGGAAAACCATACTATTTACATCGTGCCCCTCCCACCCTCCAGGGAGGCCCCGCCTGAGCGAGGAGGGTATCGGCAAACCATACTATTTACATGGTTTCGTGCCCCTCCCACCCCTCCAGGGAGGCCCCGCCTGAGCGAGGAGGGTATCGGAAACCATACTATTTACATGGTTTCGTGCCCCTCCCACCCCTCCAGGGAGGCCCCGCCTGAGCGAGGAGGGTATCGGAAACCATACTATTTACATGGTTTCGTGCCCCTCCCACCCCTCCAGGGAGGCCCCGCCTGAGCGAGGAGGGTATCGGCAAACCATACTATTTACATGGTTTCGTGCCCCTCCCACCCCTCCAGGGAGGCCCCGCCTGAGCGAGGAGGGTATCGGAATACCATACTATTTACATGGTTTCGTGCCCCTCCCACCCCTCCAGGGAGGCCCCGCCTGAGCGAGGAGGGTATCGGAATACCATACTATTTACATGGTTTCGTGCCCCTCCCACCCCTCCAGGGAGGCCCCGCCTGAGCGAGGAGGGTATCGGAATACCATACTATTTACATGGTTTCGTGCCCCTCCCACCCCTCCAGGGAGGCCCCGCCTGAGCGAGGAGGGTATCGGAAACCATACTATTTACATGGTTTCGTGCCCCTCCCACCCCTCCAGGGAGGCCCCGCCTGAGCGAGGAGGGTATCGGAAACCATACTATTTACATGGTTTCGTGCCCCTCCCACCCCTCCAGGGAGGCCCCGCCTGAGCGAGGAGGGTATCGGCAAACCATACTATTTACATGGTTTCGTGCCCCTCCCACCCCTCCAGGGAGGCCCCGCCTGAGCGAGGAGGGTATCGGCAAACCATACTATTTACATGGTTTCGTGCCCCTCCCACACCTCCAGGGAGGCCCCGCCTGAGCGAGGAGGGTATCGGCAAACCATACTATTTACATGGTTTCGTGCCCCTCCCACACCTCCAGGGAGGCCCCGCCTGAGCGAGGAGGGTATCGGCAAACCATACTATTTACATGGTTTCGTGCCCCTCCCACCCCTCCAGGGAGGCCCCGCCTGAGCGAGGAGGGTATCGGCAAACCATACTCCATGGTTTCGTGCCCCTCCCACACCTCCAGGGAGGCCCCGCCTGAGCGAGGAGGGTATCGGCAAACCATACTGGTTTCGTGCCCCTCCCACACCTCCAGGGAGGCCCCGCCTGAGCGAGGAGGGTATCGGCAAACCATACTATTTACATGGTTTCGTGCCCCTCCCACACCTCCAGGGAGGCCCCGCCTGAGCGAGGAGGGCATCAGGAAAATGGGTCCCACGAAACCGTTAATCTCTTTATGTGGGGAACTCCGTTAGCATAATTTTACAAGGATGGCACACCAACCGCATGTGGAGCCCGCGGCGAGCGTCGCGCACCTGGCGCCCGCTTTGGTTCCCAGTGGCTGTCCATCCAGTGGCGACCCCTGGCTATGCCGAGACTCGGATGCCACTTATGTGGTGGGAGGGCGGGTGGGCGTGAGCTAGACAGCGTGCGTGCGGAGAGGGTGTCTTGACCCCCCCCCCTACCCCCTCCCCTGGGTCTGGACTGACGGGGGTGGGCGGGGGGCGAGGGGTTAGAGCGTCCAACATGGCCCGATATCCAAATGAGAGGGCGGAGCGAAAGAGAGAAATTCATCACAACCCCAACCAACACCCCACCCCCACCCCCGACCACGACAGGGGTGAGGCAGACTTCCCCAGTGGCAGTGGGTGCCGCGACTGGGGGGGAAGATTCGGGGAGCTGCCCACGCTCGAGCGCCAGCCCCGAAGGCCGCCAAAATCATACCCATGCGCGCCCAGCCCCGGCACTCCCCCTGGCAGGGCTGCCAGCGGGTGCAGCCGAAGGGTGCGGGGGGGTGACCCTGGGCCACCGGCGCAGCACGAAGGAAACGGGCCGTGGATGGGGTCCCTTCAGGTTGTTCGACACGCGCCCAGGGGGCCGTCGAGGCACATGCCCGGAGGCCCGCAGCCCTCGGGGCCCTGTCCCCGTCGTGGCGAGGGGAGGCCGCAGGCCAGGCTGGCCGGCCTCCAGGAGGTGCAGGTCCGAAGAGGAAAGGAGGACGAGACCGCGCAGAAAGGGTTCAGAAGCAGAGGAAAGAGAGGTATGCATATGCACCGCACCTGGCCTGGACCATTCTGACGGCCTGCCAGACTTGTGTCGCCCCGGAGCAAGCAAAAGGTTGAAATCCTGGTGTGATTTAGAATTGGACGCGCTTGTGCGAAAATCAATACAGTGAAATCGCGAAGCAGGCGAAGTATGAGTGCGAGCGCGCCCAGACTGGAAAAGTGTGCCCGGACCTGGAAGTTTGAAACAAGTTTGAGAAGCTTGAAATGCTTTGAACAATGTGAAGCAGCTTGAGCGGATGAAGAACGTTGCCAAAAGGTTCCAAACAGGTAGCATCTCGAAATCATGAGACAAGGCACTGCCCAGATTTTTTTTATACATACAAAAATTGGAACCGTTTGCGCTGAGGTGGAAGTTTGAGAAAAAATGAACAAATGGACCCACATGTGGAAGTTTGGAAACATTAAAATTGAAAGCCGTCTTCTGGGAATTCGGAATTGTGGAACAGTGTGATCCGCACGTTTCCCGCACTTGTTTCATACTTCCATATTTCTTTTGTCTTGTTCTCGTATTTCTGCTTTCCGTTGATTTAAAACATTCGGCATACTTTGAATATTCCGCGCCTGGTCACCGGCTTGCTTGCGTGGGGCAACATAACAACAGACCACCCCAACCTAAACCGAAGACTCCAATTTCGGGTTTGGGGGGCACGGGTTCCACACGTGTTTGTTTTCAATGCTTCCCGACGCCCCCCCCACTGGGAATGGAGGGCAGATTGGGGCCTTCGGGTTGGGATGGGGTGGCGCTGGTGGGTGGTGACATGCTGGGCCCAAGATCGGTGCACCCGCCCTCCTGGTTCGGCTTATGTTGCTCCCATCGTACTTAAGGACCACATCCCCAAAATCAGGTCGAGCACCCGGGGAAGTGTCGAAAGCGTGTCGAAAGAGTGTCGAAACGGTGTCGGGCGTGTTTTTCCCAGGGCCCGACACGTGAAAACCTTCGAATTTCGGTGTTTGTCTTGTTTTTCGCTCGGGTGAATGCCATGACAAGCCCGATGAGCAGCAGACAAATGGCTGAGGACTAATTAAGTTTAGGTTCGTGAATTGCGACTACAGGCGGTCCACGACCACTTCGGGCCAAACAGCCCGAACCAAAAAAAACACCAGGAAATCTTGAAACCAAAACCTAGGGAGGTCGACACCCGGCAAAAAAAACTCAAACACCGAACCGGCGAAAAACCCAAACCCACAAAAACATAGAAAACACCTGAAGCTCAAACCTGGGGAAAAATCAAACCAAACAAAAACTCTAGAAACACTCCAAGCCGAAACCTGGGAAAAACTCTGGAAAAAAACAATGGAAACAACAGTGGAACAATTCTAGAACAACTTCCTGTAGTTTGAACAAAAAACATAACAAACTCTGGGACAGCTCTAAACGACTGAAAATTCTAAAAACTCGGGAAATGCACAACAAACTCTAAACGCTTGAAAACTACAAACAACCGGAGAAAGACATCGGGAAACTTGAAAACAAACTTTGGGAACAAACTCTGAGAAAAAAACACTTACACGTGTATGTATATATACGGAGTTTTTTTTCGGGTTTGAGCTTCAGGTGTTTTCTGAGTTTTTTGTAAGTTTGAATTTTTGATCCCAGGTTTCGGCTTCAAGGTTTTCTGTAGTTTCTTCTGTGTTTGACTTTTCACCAGGTATTGTGTTTGAGATGTTCTCAGGTTGTCTTGGGTTTTGAGTTTCCGATTCAAGATTCTTTCACTTTTTAAAACGTTTGAGTTTCCGGCCGAAGATGTTTCGAAGATTTCGGCAGGTTTGTCCATGGACCACCTGTAGTCAATTCACGAACCTAAAATTAAATCGCTCATTGACTGGCGCTACTTAAATTAAAGCCCGGCCTGCGCCGGCTCAGCGAGAAGAGAGGAGGCGTAGTCGATCCCAAACTCGTGACATGGCGGTGGACAGCGCGTTCACCTCGCGCTGAAATTGAGAATGTGCAACGTCTATGTACACATACTCCAAGCCTGCAAGGTCGAGCGTTTGCCCAGTCACCGCGTGCACGGTCCAAGCAGCAGATCCGTGACCGTTGCGGTAATCTCCGTCACTGGTGACCACAACATGTTCCATCAACGCGTCCTCGCCCTCCCCGTGCCAAAGCATAGCGCCCCGGTCGCGCAGCGCCATGTTCGCAAGATAGTCCGCTGCTTTGCCCCACTCCCTCGGGACCCACTCCACAAAAAGATTCGCGATCCCGCCGAGGGCGCCAACCGAGACGGTACAAAGAATGTTGGATGCTACTGATGCGATTGAAAACCGGCGTTTAGGTGTCATCCGAGAGCTCCATCTCGCCGTTCACCAGCCGGGCCACCGACTGGCAGTCCACGAGGAAGACGATGCGCTTGCCCGCCTCGCCGAGGCGGCACCACTCCGGCAAAACGACCGGCGGCGTGTCTGCAATGTCGAACTCAACATCCACGCTGAGAGGCGCCCATCTCACTGCCGACATGGTTTCCAGCGGGGGCGGCAAATGCCAGCGGTCACACAGGCACCGAGCAAAAGCGTCGAAGTTGACCATCCACCTGGCCAGACAGCTGTGGGAGTCACGAAAGGAGCACCAATCCTCCCGTCTCGGTACTTTTCTGGTGCTCGAAATTCTTTCTGGCGGTCAAGGCTAAAGTAGGTTGGATCATCATAAGGCCCCGCCGGGGGGGCATCTGCACGGGCCCCGGGCCGAGGAAGGGCCCGGACAGGATTTGGCGGTGGACAAACCTCCCTTTAGCGAATGGTTTAATGAGCTCGTGAATGGTAGTTTTCGGTGAGCACGTTGGGGCATGGGGAGGGGGCATAGAGAGCACCGCCGCCTCGTATGCTCAAGCACGCGGGATCACGTTTTACTTTACTGTGCCCGACGTCATGGGCCATGACGCCCGCCCCTGAGACAGGGGCGCCCTCACCCTGGCCCCTGGGCTTCCGCGTGAGAGCCAGCGGGGCGCTCGCCTGCGTGAGCTTCCTGAGCCTCATGCCGGCGCGAGGGGCCCCTACGTGGAGAACGGCGCTCGGAGGGGCAGCAGTCGGCATGATCACGATCCTAGGCGCCCTGTCCTGCTTGGCGCGGCAGTGGCTACCGCGCCGCACAGGCCCAGCGCTGCCCGACAGCGACATGCAGTCACTCAAGGACGAGCTCGAGCGGATGCGCGAGCTGATGCGGGCATCGGGCATGGCAGCAGGAGGTGGCCATGGGAAAGGCGGACCCGACGGCGAGACCGAGGGGCTGGCTGCCGCCGTGCCCTTCGGGATTCCCGGTGGAGCCCCCGCCCTTCCGCCCGCCCTCGGCGCCAGCGGCGCCGCCGCCAGCGGCTATGCGCCTGCGGGGGCCAGCGCCCTCGGCGACTTGGCGGGCTGGGCTGGGACGCCTGGGACCGTGGGCGGCGGCGAGACCGCCCATCGTCCGACCGAGGTCGGAGCCGCCAGCAAGGCGGGCGCCTCCCTCGTGAAGGACTACTTGATGACCACCAGCGCCTCCGCCCACGCGGACCCCTACTAGGCCGCGAAGTTCTGGGACTCAGTGGCGAGGCTCGAGCAGGGCGGCCGCCTCGACATGTCCGCGGTGCACCTCTTGCGCGGGTACGGCCACGTGGGCGCAGGTACCGTCACGGTGCCGAGAGTGGCCGACCTGGCCCGAGGGCCGGAGGCCTTGGCCTCCAGTGCAGCGCCTGCCCTCGGCGGGGCGGCGGGCGACCCGCTGGGCCTCGGAGGCTTGGCCACGGCGGGTGGAGGCAGCCAGGAGACGAGATGGGGAGCCAGCCTCCCGCCGGATATGCAGAGGGCCGGCGCGGAGATCTATCGAGCAATGAGGGCTGAAGGATGTACTTCTACACGAGATTGGTCGTCGGCTCGGTGCGGCGGGAGCCGCGCGTCGCCCGCGTGGGCCGATCTATGGGCGGCGGCATCTACCATGGACTTTGCCGCGCGGGACTGCAAGACCGAAGATGACCACATGAAATTCTTGAGTACCAGCGACCTGATGGAGATCTCCCTCCGTCGCCTGGCGGCGTATATGTATGAGAGTAGGTCAGGCGACCGCGCGGGAGCGCTCCACATGCTGGGGGCATCACCCCCAGGCAGCCAGACCGACGTCGCGCCGAGCTGGCTGGTGCAGTCGGCCACCGCCCACAGCAAAGCAGAGCACCAGAGGAACGAGAGGGCGGCCGCCGACCTGAGGCGGCGGGGCGGCAAGGGCGACAAGGGCGAGAAGGACAAGACCAAGAAGGGCCCCCCGCCAGGGGGGGCCAAGAAGGCTGAGTGACAGAGGGTCGCCTCGGCTGGGACAGCAGCTACCAGCCGAGGCAGCGAGCGCGGCCGATGGGTCCAGAAGCAGGTGCTGGACAAGACCCACGGGCTGCGCGAGTTGCTGCACACGGCGCCTGGCGCCAAATTGTACCCGATCCCTTTGGCGGAGGCTCCTGGGCGGCCACGCAGCACGCCCAACCGCCTCCGCCAGCGTTTTCACAAGAAGTTCGCCCTGATGACTTGGGCTAATGAGTACTTGTCGGCTCTGAACGCCATGCATCGGGGAGACTGCCGAGAGCTCGCACGGGGGAGCCGTGATCAAGATCGTTTGAAGGAGATGCTCCCCCACCACCAGCGAATTCAGCGACTGGCTCTACGTGAGGCAGCGCGGCTTCGAGAGGCGCGCCAGGACTGCGGTCTGACAGGCGCCCAGGCCATCGAGAAGTTGGTGAAATCGGAAGCTCTATCATACACGGGAGCCCAGAGGCGCAAGACTGCGCATGAGACCCTGCGAGCCGATGCTGTAGATGAGCCCCTGGATCCCCGAGTGGCGCCCATGTTGTCCGCGTTGGGTCCAGAGGAAGCGGCCTTCTACTCCGAGGAGGCCCAAGTAGTCGCGGCCCCAGAGGCCCGCTCGCAGGCCATCTTTCGGGAGCTCGAGCAGCAGTACGGTTCCGTCGGGGGGTCTGAGGAGGAGTGCGCTAGGTATTTCCTGAGGCAGGACATCGCCCCCAATCTCTGGAAGTTTGGGTTTCGAGAGGACGTTCGAGCTATTGCAGGATTCACAGTGGTGCCCAAGAAAGACCCAGCTAAACAACGTAAGATTATCATGATGGTGGCCTCGAACTATATGTTTCAAGATGCACGGCCTCGCGAGGAGCACGGACTCCACGGCGGGGCAGCCCTTGCCAGTGTGCACGTGCCGAGCGATTTCGTCAGCGCGTCGGCCTTCGACGAGAGCAATGCTTTCACCTCGGTGGAGGTACCTGAGTGGATGCGGGCGTGGCAAGCTGCACCCCCTATCCGGGCCGGCCTGATCTGGGCTGTTCTTCCCTGGGCCGTCCGGGGGCGGGCCAGGCCTGGAGACTGGATCTACCCTATGTGGAAACGCCGAGTCATGGGGGGTTCGGACAGCGTCCATATCCTGATGAATATTAACATGACCAGTGTGGACCGCACGCTCGTTCGCAGCTGCGGCCTGTGGCGGGGCTACTCGGAGGAAGATTTCGACGTCAATGAGGAGGGCCAGCTCTTGGGTAAGAACGACGAGGATTGGGCGTCCGAGGACGTAGGTAAGGGGTTCACCGTGGACGGTTGGGTTCAGGAGGTCTTAGGGGTTTAAGGCGTCGGGGAAGGATGTCGCTGTCGTCATGCACCTGTTCGCGGGCCCGAGGAGGCCAGGGGATCTGGAGGAGTGGCTCCACGTCTTGGGGGCCGCGCACGGCCTGGAGATCTTGGTGCTCTCGTGTGACCTCGAGCTGGGCCCCAACTGGGACCTCGCCATTCCTGAGACCTTCCAGAAGTTGTGGGGCCTGGTGGCCCAGGGTTACATTGATGGGATTGTTGGAGGGCCTCCCTGCTTAACGTGGTCTCGGGCCCGCTTCGTCAAGTTGCTTGGGGGTCCGAGGCCGCTGCGTTTTCGAGGCAAGTACGTCTGGGGCCGCCCCGACTCTGAGCTCACAGAGGCTGAGAAGGGGCGAGCCCGGGAGCCCAATCTCTTGACCCTGAATGTCCTGTCTCTCTGCGAAAGAGTTTCTGCCCAAGGAGGGTGCACACCCACGAGCGTCCCGAGGGCCCGGGCGAGGATCCCTACCCCTCAGTTTACAGCACGGAGGTGATGTGTGCCATGGGGGAGCGCACGTCGGCTGCGCGCGTGAGTCTGGATCAGTGCATGTACGGCGGCCTGGCTCGCAAGGCGACCACGCTGTCGGGCACGGCCGATGGGCTTCGGGAGGGAGAGTGCCGATGTGATGGAAGACACCAACACCACAGGAGCATCGGGCGCATTGCGGGGAAGGGGGGCCAGCCAGACTTCGCGACCACACGTTTGGCTACGTACCCGACGGCCCTCAGCCGCTCTCTGGCTTCTTGTCTCGTACAGAGCTTCGTCAGGAAGCGCCGAGAGAGGTCACATCCGCTCGCAGTTCCTCTTCCCCCGCGACGTGCTGCTAGGCTTTCGCAATGGTCGAGGCCGAGCAGTTCCCGGCACGAGCGGGGGCTCCACATGCTCAACGAGACTAGCGTCAAGATGAAAACGCTGTCTTGGACAAAGGTGATGTAGGCTTTTACCTCCATATTGACGATGGCCTGGTGATGACGGATGGCCAGGACCACAAAGGCTCCAGGGGGGCCTCGAACGTTTTCATGCATCGAGCTGCCGACGACCTAGTGGAGCTGGGTTTTAAAGTTGCCGATCGCCGTGAATCAGACGAGATGGAAAAGGTTGTAGGTCATGAGATCCAGCAACATCCTGCTCGACTTAGGTTACCTGCTCCGAAGGCCGCGGCGCCGCAACATATCTTCCAGTTTGCTAAGCAGAACGAGGGGCTTCCTGGGCGTCGAGGGCCCCGCAGATGGTGGCCCAGTGCTCTGAGAGAATTGAGGGTTATGAGGTGTGGGCTCATGGGGCTCTACGTGGACCTGGGGGCCCCCATCTCGGAGGTGGTTCTGGCTACGGATGCTGAGGGGTCGAACGGTCTAGACTGCGGGGGCTACGGTATTGTCGCCACCGTGATGTCGGACATCGAGGCCCGCCTGCTTTGGGAAGCCGGGGCCAAAACTGGGCGCGCTCTCGCTCGCCCGGGCCAGGAGAAGCGCGTCCTCGAGAAGGCCCCCCGCTCGTTGCACCCCAAACTCCCTGTCAGTTCGGTTCCGAAGGAGATCTGGGACACGGCTCGCTCCTGGATCCCAGTCGCTGCCGGTCGGTGGAGGTGGGAGGAGCACATCACGGTGGGGGAGATGAGGGCCGTCGTTCTGGCGCTGGAGAGGTTGGTGCAAGTTCTAAGTTTCTATAGGAGTAAAGTGATATCTTTCGAGGACAACATGCCTTGCTCGTACGCCATTGCCAAGGGAAGGTCCGCGGCGGGCCCGCTCAACTTCCTTCTCCGCCGCCGATGCGCCCTGTGTGCTGCCGCAGAACTATGACTGCTGCTGCCCTGGGTTGAGACGTGGCGGATGCCTGCTGACTGGGTTTCGCGCAGTAGGACATGAAGGGAGGCGTTAGAGGGCACCCCGCAGGATCAGGACCAGGGCGTCCAGCAGGCCAGGGCGATCCAGAAGTGATCGATGTGCATGAGGAGGGGAAGGTCTCTGCTTCTACCGTCCTCAAGTATAAAGAGGCGGTGGTTCCCTTTGTCAAGTGGTGTGTCAGAGAAGGGGTGGGGCCGTTCACCCCGGACCAGTGGGACGACGCTATCATGGACTTCAAGAAGTTTGGGGGCTCCGGGGCTGTGAGGATGGGGGTCCAGACTAAGTCCAAGTTCACCCTGCTTCTCGCGGCGGTGGAGTTCCGCTTTCCGAGCATGAAGGGGAGGCTGCGTCGAGTTAGGGCGGCCCTCAAGGGCTGGGACTATGCTCACCAACCTCGTCATACCGTCCCCATGATCAGTAACGTGTGCGCATGGATGTGTATTCATTTGTGTGCCAGGGGTGTGCCGCGCCTGGGCTTCGGCACGGTGATCCAGGGCAAATTCGGGATGAGGCCGAGTGAAATGCTGGGAGTTGAGGCTGACGACGTCACCCTTCCGGAGGACTGGGGTTATCCTGGAGGCCCTGGGCCAGTCGTCATCGGTCTGGGGATCAGGGCACGAAGGCCAAGCGCCCGCTGTCTGTCTTTCCTGGAGGAGCTGGAGCCAGGCCTCACAGAGGGCCTCAGGATTCTTCGTCGTCATACCCCCAAGGGCCAGCGGCTTTTCCCGTACTCCCTGGCCCAGTACCGCACCCTCATAAAGACCGTGCAGGCCTCGTTCAACCTTGACGTCGGGTGGGGGCCGCACAGCCCCCGCGCCGGGTTTGCTTCGGAGTCGACCGCCCTCGGGATCCCTTTCGAGACCATCAGGGAAATGGGAAGGTGGAGGGTCGACTCCTCGCTGCGCATCTATATTGATGTGGTTCAAGCGCCACAGGTAGGTACAGCTCTACGTGCAGCAGGTTTGCAGCCAGCCCTCGACTGGGCTGCTCGCTACTGGTGCCCTACGTTCCGCCAGGCTTTCGATGGTTGGGTCCAGGACGCCCAGCATCAAGGCCGCGCTCCGCAAGGGCGCGGCCGCGCAGGCCAAGGGCGAGGGCGTGGAGTCGGGCTCGGAGGTGGGCTCGTGGCTGGAGGTGGGCAGCCCGGGAGCCAGCTCGGCGAGGGCGCCCGCCGCGCCGATGCAGAACCGCGCGGACACGCCACCTCCTCGGACCCCAGGGGGGCTGGGCACGGGCGGGGCTTACTACCCTCCAGTGCCGCCGTGGGGAGCTACCACGCCGCCGCCGCTCCCGGAGGCGCCGCCGCTGCCGCCATCCACGCCCAAGGTCAGTGCGAAGATGCAGGCGGCAGCGGGCAAGCCTCTTGCCAAATCGCTTAAGGCGGGCAAGGGCGGCCAGCTACAGTGGGTGATGAAGTGCGTGCCGTCAGGACCTCTTCTGGGCAAGCTCGTGCTGGCCGCCATGGTGCTGAGTATCCTCCCCGCCAGCCTCTTCCCCAACGCCGCCAGAGGCCTCATCGTCATGACGGACGTGGCGGAGGAGGTAGGATCCGCGGCGGGGAGGATCGTGACCGCAGAAGCGAATGTGAGCACGAGCGCAGCGAAGCTCGTGTCGGCAGTGACGGATGGGTCGATCGGCCTGGTCGAGGCGGCTCGGCGTGGCGTCGACCTGCTGGACGTCCAGGTGCTGGGCAGCACCAGCAGGTTCTTCGTCGAGGATGAAGACGACTGGCCCGCCTTCCTCCAGGAGCCAGAGGTCCAGCAGGTGCTGCAGCTCGAGCCGGAGTTTTCTGATGGACTGGAGCGCCTTTTGCTCTTCTCTTCGGCCACTAGGCCGAGAGGCGAATTCACACACTGTGCTTTCCGCTCTCCCAAGAGTTACCAGTCCGTGAGTTTTTGGGTCCGCTGGCTTCCCAGCGGCCACGTCGCGATCGCCTGGAGGGTGGTCACGATCCGCTTTCGCCCGCAATGGGCGAACCCAGTGTGGGGGCTGCTCGGCATGGATGAGACGGCCGAGGCACCAGCCATGGCTGAGCAGCTCAAAATTTTGGCGGATTCGTCCTTTCCCGCGCCTGAGCTAGATCTCGGCCCCGAGATGCTCCGTGGCACTCCCGCCCTCCCTGGAGGTTCTACTCGCAGGCTCGTCCGACGTGTGCGCCGCGCAGTGGCGCGGGTCCTTCAGTTTCTTTTTCCTTTCAGCAGGCGCGAGCAGCCGCGCCTCCTGGAGACAGACCGCACAGCGAATACGGGCGACGGCTACTCGTTGAATGGTACTGGCCTGGTTTCGGCTGGAGAGGTATCGCTCGCGGATGCGGGTGGTGGTGAGCGTTCTTGAGCCAGCCAGCCCAGCAGTCCAGTCCATTTGAAGCATTCGAGTTTCAGTTTCAGGAGAAGTGGAGATTTGGAGGCCCCTGCATCAGATGCAGGGGCCAGGCTAGACACACGTGCAAGAAGAGTGTTGTTTGGTAACACCTGAGCGGCAGCAAAAAGTGAATCCCCGTCAGTGATAACCTGTCCTAGGGTGGGCCCCGACAATAGTGCTGAAATGGTTTAGTGAGCTCGTAAATGGTAGTTTTCGGTGAGCACGTTGGGGCATGGGGAAGGAGCATAGAGAGCACCGCCGCCTCGTATGCTCAAGCACGCCCCTCCCGCGTCGCCGATCGCAGCCTGACCCTTTTTCTGTTGCTCCCTGCTCCCGTGTCCTCGTCCCTCCCTCGCGTTCTTGAGCCAGCCAGCCCAGCAGTCCAGTCCATTTGAAGCATTCGAGTTTCAGTTTCAGGAGAAGTGGAGATTTGGAGGCCCCTGCATCAGATGCAGGGGCCAGGCTAGACACACGTGCAAGAAGAAGAGTGTTGTATGGTAACACCTGAACGGCAGCAACAAGTGTATCCCCGTCAGTGATAACCTGTCCTAGGGTGGGCCCCGACAATAGTGCTGAAACCTCCCTTTAGTGAAAACGGCCTAGGACCGAAACCGACGGACCTGGACCCGCAAAAATGACGGCCGCGACGCCCTCTCGCGAACCGAAAACGGCCAATTCGCTAACCGACGTGTCAGGGCAGGAGGCCTGGCAGCCTCCGAAGGATCCGCGCGTGTGCAAAATATCTTCTCGTCATCGTCGCCCAACGAAGGGCGCATGCAGGGCCGGCATGGCGGCCAGCACGTCGCTCGGCACCAGCAGCGGGCCCAGGCCAGGAGTTCCACGGGGGGGAAGGGGAGGTGGAGGGAGAGGGGGAGGAAGGTGGTGGTCGGGGGGGGGGAGGAAGGGCAGGATAGCGAGGGGCGGGGCAGAGAATCAGCTGGCGGAGCTGGTTCTCCCTTCCAAGGCTGACGTCGCTCGCAGCAGACCGGCGGAGGAGCTAGTATGTGAGCGTTTTCTGATTCGGCGTTTCGACATTGAGCGAAAAGGGGGGGGGAGGGGGAGGGGGTCTGGCTCAGTGCCTCTGCTTAGTGCGACTGCTTGCAACAGTGCGTCCTATGGGGGAGGGGCCCCATCTGCTCGAAGCAGGCGCCGAAAAAACACACAAGACCCATGCCAGGGGGGGTGGGAGAGGGGGTTCGGGGGGGAAAGGGGGGGGGGGCTGCGAGGGCACGCGCCGATCGGCAAACCAAGGAATAAGACATCGATCACTGTCTTGCCTGCGATCTTGCCCTTGCTCCGACCCGCCAGACGTCTCGGCAGGGGGAGCGAGCGCGCGAGCACCCTTCCGGCTTCGGTGCGGGTATAGAGCCGCGCGCTCACTCGGGCGGGACAAGCAGAGCCGCAGCTCGCGAGAAGCGAGAGAATCATGCCACGCCGCAGCCACGAACTGCTTCTCCACGTCAGGCCATTCGGAGAGGCTGTTTGACCTGCGAATCCGGGTGATGGCATTGATGTAGCCGTGCCTTCTGCGAGCCTGACCCTGCACAGTGCCGCCCAAGAAAATACGCTGCCGAATGAGTGCTCTACTGCCCCCCCCACTGCCAGGACAGAAACAGAGAATGCGCGCGGCGTGAAGGCGAGCGAGCGACCACCTCCGCCACGGAGCCCCTCCCCCAGATCGGCGTGAAGCGCTCGGCGTGCAGAAGTGGCAGCGCCGGCTCCCCCCGCAGGCCTCGTCGCGGACTCCCCAAAATTCCCTCCCACGGCGTGCCCGCTCACCACCCGGCGTACCCCTTGCCGCGGCCAGCCCCTGCGGGCCCCTGGGGGAGTTCCCGCTCCTCGATCGACCCTCGATCCTCGATCTTCGATCATGGATCGAGCCTCGACCCTCGATCGAGCCTTGACCCTCGATCCTCGGTGCTCGATCCTGGATCGAACCACGAGCCTCGATCGAATCTGGATCCTCGACCCTCGACCGAATCTCGACCCTTGAGGCCCCCGCGTGCACCCCGAGCAGGTGCGCCCGCGCGTCGCCCAGCAGGGCGGCGGCCAGGTCCGACGCGGTGGGCAGGCTCCACAGCGCATCCTGCCCAGGGCGGCACACGTGCTGCGCTCCCCTGCTGGAGGGACGGGCAGGGATCGAGGATTGGTCGATGCAGGGTCGAGGAGCGAGGAGGGCGTGGGGGAGGAGGAGGCAGAGGACGAGGGGGGAGGATGACGAAAAAGGGGAGAAGGTTAGTAAGGATTCCTCCTCCTCCTCCTGCTCCTCCTCGTCATCATAATCCTCCTCCTCCTCCTCCTCCTCCTCCTCCTCATCAGCATCATCATCATCATCATCATCATCATCATCATCATCATCATCATCATCATCATCATCATCACCGTCATCATCATCATCATCATCATCATCATCATCATCATCATCATCATCATTAGCAAATAATCATCCTCATCTTCATCATCATCTCATCATCATCAATCATCATAATAACATCCATCATTTATGAAATTCAACATCATCATCATCACCCCCAAATCACTTCATCATCATCAACATAATCATCATCAGATGCAGCTGCAGCACCAAATAATCATCATCTTATCTCATCTATACATGAGCATCATCATCATCAGCACCATCATCAGCATCACATCATCCTTCTTCAGCATCATCATCAGCACCATCAGCACCATCAGCACCATCAGCAGCAGCATCAGCATCAGCATCAGCATCAGCATCAGCATCAGCAGCAGCAGCATCAGCATCAGCATCATCAGCGCCATCATCATCATCATCATCATCAGCAGCAGCATCATCAGCATCATCAGCATCATCATCATCATCATCATCATCATCCTCAATCCTGTCCATTCTAAGGAAATCCTCCTGGTCGCACTCCCAGAAGTGTCGGTAGGGCGGCCTGGGCGTTTCGCCTGAGACTCCCTCACCACTTATGGTCCTGAAGCTTCGTAGTTTGCAACAGCTTGGTAGGAGTGCGGGGTGTGTGTTTGAGGGACAGGGAGGAGGAGGAAGAGAAGGAAGAGAAGAAGGATAAGGAGGAGGACAGAGAGGAAAGGGGGAGGAGAGGGAGCGAAGGGGGGGAAACGCAAGAAGAGGAGGCGGAGAGGAAGCGGAGGAGGACGAGGGCAGAGAGGAAGAGCAGGGGGTGACAGGAAGAGGAGGACAGCGTGTGCGGGAAGGGAGCGTGCAGGCGCCGAGGAGGAGAAGTGGACGACGGGGAGAAGGCAAGCCAGCCAGGAGAGCAGGGAGCGTGGGGGATCGACATGGGGGGGGGGAAGCAAGTCTTGGAGCCGTGAGCGGGCGCCGCCGTGGCCGAGGCAAGCTGCGCCCGCGACGCCCTCCCCCCCCCCCCCCCCCGGGAGGGCAGCGCCCGCAGGTCGAGCAAGGCCAGCATCACCTCGGGGCGGCCCTGCACCGTCTGCCCCCCGCCCCCTCCCCCCCTCGGGGGATGGGGAGGACGGAGGGGGGAGGGAAGAGGGAGGGGGTGGGGGAGGGGGAGGGGGAGGAGATAGGGGGGGGGAGGAGGGAGGGGGAGAGGACAAGCTGGGCGCGCTCGCGTCATATCTGACGTCCTACCCCTCCCTCCCATGTCCCTTGCCATGGCGTAGATCTGTTCGCTATTCGCAGTCGGATGTCGAGCCGGGCAATGATCCCGAGAGGGTGCGCGATGCATAGTAGGCACGGCATAGCACGGCGTAGAAGAGCACGGCCAAGCTTAGTATGTCATAGCATGGCGTGGCGTTGCGTAGTGAAGAGTTGCATCACGAAGCATTGCAACGCAAGGGCATCGCACAGCGGCACAGAACATAACATGGCATAACATGGCGTTGAATATCAAACCGTAGCATGGCATAGCATGGCGTGGCACTGCGTAGTCTAGCACTGCATATCCTAGCATTGCAGCTGAAGGCGTGGCATCACACACCAGAACACAACATAGCATTGAGCAGCATTGACTTGCATGCCGTGGCATGGCACTGGAAAGAATGACGCCAACGCTGCAGCGGGAGCACGATTCGAAACGAGCGGAAGCGCGGAAATGAGGCCAGCGCTGCAGCGGGAGCACGGTTCGAAACGAGCGGAAGCACGAACATGAGGCCAGCGCTGCAGCGGGAGCACGACTCGGAACGAGCGGAAGCGCGGAAATGAGGCCAGCACTGCAGCGGGTGCACGATTCGGAAGGAGCGAAAGCCAGAAAATGAGGGCAACGCTGCAGCGGGAGCACGATTCGGAACGAGCGGAAGCGCGGAAATAAGGCCAGCGCTGCAGCGGGAGCACGATTAGGAACGAGCGGAAGCCAGAAAATGAGGCCAACGCTTCAGCGGGAGCAACATTTGGAAAAAGAAACCAAGCCAAAACCCAACTCCCGGGAATCCGGTGTAAAAAACAATGAGCGGACGGAGACCGAATATCTTCCTGACGTCACTAGGGAAGAGAATAGTACTCACATTGTGTTGTTGTGAAGGGAGGTGGAAAGGAAAGGGGAAGAGGTGGCTCTCCGGAAATAGGGTTGGTTCCCCGGGAAATCGGATGGCTTTCCGGGTGAACGGGGCCAACGCTGAATTGGCTGGTTCCCCGAGTGAAACCCTCACAGGACTTCTGCGGGAGACGAGTTCCTGAGTCCTGCTCCTTGTCCTCCTCTTTCTCCATCTCCTTCTGATAGCCTCATGCGCACTTGCACCTTGCAGACACAATCCTGACACGCATTTAAGCCTTAGAGGCACAATCCTGACGCGCGCTTAAGCCTTGGAGGCACAGCCCCGACACTCACTTACACTTCAGAGACACCGCATTGACATATACACACACGCTTAAACCTGAGAGACACAATCTTAACACGCACTGTATTCTTGGAGGCGCAACCCAAACACGCACTTCTCCTTAACCTGTATGTGCACAGTGCTGACACACTCTTAGGCCGCAGAAACATACGATTGACACACAGTTCAACCCTAGAGACGCAATCCTGACGCGCACAGACCTTAGACACACAATGAGCACACACATACACATGATAGGCACAAGCCCGACACGAACGTAAACCTCACACGCGCACAATACTGACATGCAACTGAACCTCAAAAAGACACACTCCTGGCACGCACGTAGACCTTAGAGGCACAGTCCTGACCCGCACGTCAATCATATAGACACAAGTCAACCACGCACTTGCAACTTCATGGCACGCACGTAAGCGGTAGAAAGACACAATCCTGACACGCGCGGAAGCGTAACCTTTCGAGGCACAGGCCCGACGTGCATTTTAACCTGAGAGACACGCACGACGCGAACCTAAACCTTACAGACACAAGCGCGGCACGTACTTCAACCTGAAAGACACAAGCCTGACACGCACTGGACCTTGAAGGCACAAACCTGGCACGCACTTGATCCTCAGACGCGCAATATTGGCTTAGCGATACCGCCCCGACACGCACTGAACCTTAGAGGCGCTATCTTGTCACGTATGCTGCGTAGAAGCTTTGAATGTTCTGGCACGTTTCGTATATGTTTCGTTATGGTTCGCAAGTGGCTTGTACATGGCATGTGCGTGCCTCATATATGGTGCGTATGTGTTGTAGGTGCTTGTGCTGTGTATGTATGACTCTTCCGCGCTGGGTTCCGACCACTACCACTGTTACTGCTGTTCCGCCTCCTACCACTTCGGTTTCCAAATGCCACTACTACTGCGACTACTTCTACTACGACGGCTACTACTGCTTCAACTACGACTGCGACGGCGACTACTATTATTGCTACTGCAACTGCTACTGCTACTACTACTACTACTACTACTACTCCTGCTACTACTACTACTACTACTACTACTACTACTACTACTACTACTACTACGACTACTACGACTACTCCTACTACTACTGCTGCTGTTACTACTA